TTTGGCAGTCGAAGCCTCGCTTCACTCGTATTCTCACTGTGTTGGAAAATCAAATGCATGGTAGTAAGAGGAAACAAAAGCTCTAATTRATACTAGCTTCGGTGAYTCCTAAGAGATATTTTCACGTTGCAACAATTGGTTTTCGGTATATCGCAGAATGCTCTTTCACGAAACAGTAAGCGTGACGGTATTCCAAACACTGCATTTTCGTCCTTYGCCAAGCTYATTTTGAACATTGGTTATAAAACTCTAAGGATTCGCCCCTTCTGCAAAGCCTACTGCTATTGGATTGTCCAACCCTCACCGTTCTGGTCATGATTAGGTCGTAGATTCAGCCGGTTTCGAGTTCGAACGCATCGGACACCGAGAGAACACCGGACCCGCTGACCAACTTCGCACGCGGCTCGAGCACCGTGTCACCGCTTCCGTTTGCGGCTKCCRATCCGGGGTTGCGTCCGGACGTAGGTTTCGAGGGATTGCATTTCCTCCTCCTTGCCCTGGAGCTTGGCTTCGGTCAGGGAGAGCATCCGGTGGAATTCYCKGCGAGCCTCCATGAAATAGGCGACCGTCCTGTCCAGCCTGCACTTCTTGGCAAACGCGTCCTGGTTGGCGGCCTGGGACGGGGCCAGGGATGCTTTCGCGGCKGCCGCAGAGGCAGATTCTGCCGTGTCGAGGCAGTTCACCACGGCGGATCCCACTCTTCGCCAAACCTTCCGGTGCCGCGGCTCCTGCTTGGCGGTTTGCGCCGGCTGTCGCTGCTTGGATTGGGTTGGTTGCGGGCGCTGGTGCAGCGGTTGCTTGGGAACCGTAGAGGACTGCATGGTTCCAAAAGAGGGCAAAGAGATCGACGAGCAGGTGATAATTGTGGTGGGGGTGGTGTTGAGCGAGGAATGAGTGCCTGACCTGCTATCACCGGATCTGTTCACGATCGTCGAAAAAAAATACTGCAAGTTCAATCGAAAACCGACGCTTCTTTTCGTTCGTCTCGTTTACTGTACGGTAGGGTATGATACGTACCGTACTCGTACTTGTAATGTAGCGGCAATTCTGAAATGCACGCGTGAAGAAATACATTTCGCGCAGAGACGCACGGCAGCCCGAACGAGCCCMAAAAACGGCCGTCTTGTACACTGACGGACGGAAGCTGTCACCCCCGCCCTCGACTGGAAGAAAGGTCCTACCTTACGATACAAATGGCAAATAGGCTTCTTTTACCGTTACAGCTTACAGTAATACGAACCTAATAATTCCAGCACTTTGTCCTTTGATGTTGAGAGTTGACAGAATGTTGTGGTGTTCATTATGGTGCGTTGCTACAACAAACAGCCATGTAATGTACTAGAAGTTACTAGATCTGATGAAGCCAAAAGTATACGAACTCAATGATAATAGTGTGAGCCTAAATAGCGTTCATGAACAGAAAACTCTTTAGGAGTATACTTGAGTAGAGGCGTGTTAACGCTAAAACAGAAGTCAGGAAATAAAACGATGCTAGTCATAGAAAGCTTCTGTTCTCATTAAACTCAGAGAGCTGTGTTTCGGGTTCTCTGAAGAAGACGACGCAAGGGATTTCTTTTCTATTGCCACTACTTTTCGTCCGCCAAAGTTCTGATGATTGGAAATTGATCATTTTATCTCACTCAGTATCTAATTYCAACAAGGATTTGATAAATGTAGAATTGTAAAATTCTTTTTATTGGTTGACATTAAAAAAAAGTAAAATATTATCAAATGCATTCTGCCATGAGGCATATACTAATACTGCATGATTATTTCGTAGCGAGACCACATTAGAGAGACTGATCATATTCTCTGTTGGGCCTCCAGCCATTTTGGAATTATTCACTTAGAGCCACTGGACGGCATCTAGAAGGAATTCGCCGAACTCATCTTCATTTTCTTCGTCGCTCAACAAATTAGGCATTTTTGGTTCTTCCTTCACGGGGAAAAGAGAAGAATCAATGGGATCGAGCGCCGTATTCGAAGGGACCACAGTATTGCTTGGGGTCGGKGAAACAACATCTCCTGAAAGGCAAGCCTCTGGTGTGGGTRTAGCAGTTACGGAATCCTCGGACTTCGGGAGGAAAGGTAGAGCAGGAGCAACAGTAGTGATCTTCACTGCTGGAATGGATGATCTTAGAGGCCAATTCTTCTCGGAATGAGAAGGTGATCGCATTGCGCAATCTTGACCGATTCAACGTTCGTTCGAAAGAGACYATCTCCGACAACAAAAAGTGCGAGTTTGCGTTCACAGCGCCTTTCGTTCAAGACACACATGCCGACGTGAACATCGGAGGTTGGAAGCTGAGCTTCTCATTAGGACAGACAATACCGTAGGTAATGTGCTGTGAAGGGGTGTGTGCGCTTGAAAAGGACTGCGGGGCAAATTCGCGACAGGTTGCGTCAGGTCAGATCTACTTTCGAAGAAAGTGAAAAATATAGAGTTTTGGGTGAAATGATTCAGGACGTTGCATGTCGAGAGATCATATTATCTGAAAACTCTTGCTCATAACTTTCGATTCCCATGAGTACTTGGTCCACGACCGCATCAACCACGGTCTTGGCAGAGGAGGATGCAACGGGGGATACTRTTGGTTCTTCGTGAAGGGGAGGGTGTACCGGWGAGGGTGGAGGGGAGACGAATTTTGAATCATTGTTGTCAGTGACGTCAAACTCTAGCGATTGTTCYAGKMCTTGTGCTTCAATAGGTTCTGGRACAAGTGTTCGGCTGTCGATGCCAGACGCTTCTTCGAGTTTCTTGATYCGTTCCATTATAGATTCTACTTTGTTCTTCCATTGGCCAACTTCTAYTTCAAGATCGCCAATTCGGTCACGTTGTCTTTGGCGCGACAGTGCAGCGCTTTCTCTATTTCTCTTGCGACGTTGTTCTCGTCGCCAGGCCGCTGCCTCTTCTTTCGACATGGGAACGTCGGGGTCGTACTTCATTTGAGGCTTCTTTTTTGTGGACGTTTTCTTTTTTGCAGTTGCGGTATTTCTTGCAGTTKTGACGGTAGWGGATGCAATTTGGTGAAGCGCCGAAGATTGGCTCCTATCATCCGTGATATCTGATACTCTGCGGACCTTCTTCACGTGTCCCTCCTCACGATCGGCGATCATCATACTCGAAGTTGTTGTAACCGCTTCTAGTGCTTGACGCTGAGATGTTAAGATCTCACGGCGTCTCTTCCTTGCAGCTGAGGCATCGGAAAATTTAGTCGAAGTGGGTGGAATTACAACAACCGCGGCAGACATTTTCGCACTTTTACTTTACCGTTGTTGAAAGAGGAGGTTGAATAGGAACGCTTTTCAGTTTGGTTAGCGATTGTATTTGTGTGTAGGTAGGGATCGATGAGACTCTGATGGGTGAGGCCGTGCGTTTTCGTGTGCTTCAACTGCGGAAAATGAAGATACAGACACATCATCGACATGCGTTTGTTTTTTATTACCTTTGATTGGGTAAACGATCGTGAGGCCGAGAGGGCTCGTTCTTCTTCAAGTTCTTTGATCCAATCAGACAGTAAAAATTAGATTCTTTRCCTCCAAACCCCCAGTTGCCTCCGTAGGAGAATCTAGTAAATTCGTACGTCAGCGCTGTGATTGGACTAAGTTGATGGGTGGATGGATGAACAGACCTCCGTAGATCTTCAACTTCAACAATAGTAACCCTATCCTTTTCAGAAATTGATTTCACAAAGAACTCAGGTTTTAATTAAAAWGGTACCAGTACCGGCCGGTACCGTACATAGTCATAGAGAGACCGTACCAGAACTAGCAAGTAAAACTCGTACAAGATTTTCTAATTTGATTTACTTTTATTCGCGGTTAGCGTTGTTCGAACGTGAGGAAGGTATTGTACTGTACGAGTAAAACTTCCGACCAAACTCTGTCGACACCGTTTCAATTAGGACAGTTCAGATTGGGAGGGTACGTGCAATAATTTTTATTTTTCTAATTGCGACATATTACTTGTCCCTTGTGATAAACTTGTGCCGAAGAAATCTGGGTGCACTCTTACATCAGCTCTTTGTGGGTGAATTTCTTCTCGCCCGAAGAATATTCAGCGACAATATTTGTATCGGCCGACCGCAGTTGCCATTTCGTTGTCAATAACCCTTCCACCCCAACGGGTCCGCGTGAATGGATACGACCCGTGGAAATTCCAACTTCAGCTCCCAAACCAAATCTGTAGCCATCAGCAAATCTAGTAGATGCGTTCTTAAAGACACAGGCGGCGTCTACCTTTCGGAGAAATTCCTCTCCAACTTCAGCATCCGGGCTGCAAATAATAGACTCAGTATGCCCACTTCCATACGTATGAATCCAATCAATAGCCTGGTCCATATTTTCAACAACCTCTACCATGCATGTCAAGTCTCCATATTCACATTTTAGCTCCTTCGCAGGGGTATCACACAATCCAAGCTTCATGGCTTCGGGGCCTCCCAAGCATTTCACTCCGGCAGCTCGAAGTGCCATGAGTGTCTGGGGAGCTACACCATTGGCAATCGTGTCCTTGTGAACCAACAACGTTTCCATGGCATTGCATGCAGAGGGGTAATCTGTTTTCGAATCAACAATAATTTTGCACGCCGACTCTGCTGGAGCGCTTTTGTCAAGATAGATATGACAGACACCGTCGGCATGACCCAAAACAGGAATTTTGGTGTTAGCCTTGATGTAACTAACGAGAGCATTGGATCCTCGAGGAATAACAAGGTCGATAACCTCATCAAGCGAAAGCATATCAGCAACCTGCACAGATTCCAACGAAAAGTCATTCAACGTGAGCATTTAAGTAATGTTGTATCGGTGTCGATATCGCAAACGAAACTTGACAACGTCGAACTTACCTGACCACGGCTCGTGATGAGAGCAATGATGTCTCTCTTGATCGCCCCTTTGCTACCTGATTCAATTGCATCGCCCAATACCTCATAAATGGCTGCGTTGGAATTGACAGCTTCTTTTCCTCCCTTGAGTAGAAGGCCATTTCCGCTGGCAATTGAGAGAGCAGCAATTTGTGGCATTGAATCAGGACGCGATTCAAATATAATCATTAGGACACCGATAGGTACAGTGATAAGGGATAATTCCATTCCGTCTGCGAGTTCCCTCTTCGCTTTCAAAACTCCCAGAGGATCGGGCAGGTCGGCAATTTGTCGAAGACCCTCCGCCAAGGTCTCGAGTTTGGCATCAGTTAGCTTAAGTCTCTTTTTCAGGACGGAAGCAGTGTCATTTTCTTCGGCAGCGACCAAATCGATTGAGTTTGCTGCAAGCAACTTTTCCTTCTTATCAATCAAAGCATCGGCCATAGCCCGCAAAATGTCTTGACGGACTGCGTGAGGCAACGCCTGTAGTTTCCTTGCTTCGTTTCTGGCGGCCACAGCCTTATCTCTTGCCTCATTTGATATATCGTCATTGGAATCTGATGGCGACMCGCAATCTACTAGCGCCTGTTTTTCGAGTCCACTACCGGGCTTGCAAAATAGAGTTCCCTTCGTTCCAAATTTATTCTCGGGTCCTAAGATGGCTCGAACAGCGTTCAAGTCGTTGCCAGCGGCTACGACACAAGCAGTGCAGTCCGATCCGGCACTAACAGCAGTTAGTGCTGCGCCAATCTTCGACGCCATACCTCCGCGCCCTATAGTCCCGTTCGATCCATTTATGATTAGTCAACATATAAATGAGATCGAATTTGCTTTCGYAGAAGAAAAAAGAACAGCAACGGCAACTTACCTTGCGAACTTTTATCGCCAATGGAAACATCGGAAGTTTCTTCAACATAAAGTTCCAACATTTTTGCACCAGGTTCTGATGGACRACGATCATAAACTCCATCTACATCGGTCAATAACAGCAAAACCTCTGCGTTGAAGTTGCGTGCACAAAGTGCAGCCAATGAGTCGTTGTCGGAAAATACATCATCTGCGGTGTAGCCGAGATTTGCCGAGACTGCGTCATTCTCATTGATAATTGGAACAATACCGTGACTCAACAATCGCTCCACGGTGTACTTGAGATTCTCCAAACGACTTTTGTCGACGAAGTCACCTTGTGTCAGCAAGATTTGGGAAGCAGTTATATCATACTGATCGAACAGACTGCGATACAAATTCATCAAATCGAATTGACCAGCAGCTGCACAAGCAGAGTCGTAAAACTTTTTYTTTTCTTCGGGTGAATGCTTCCTTSCGGGGGCTTCTAGAAGCGACACGAAGCTTTTACTTCGTCCCATGGCAGMATTGATATYGTCCGCTACCAAGTGATCCGCCCCTTCTTGAGCATGAATTGAATCCCTAAATGACATCATCATTCTGCTCTGCTTCTTGAGCAAGCGCTTCCCCATGCCGACTGCACCCGAGCTTACAAAAATCACTTCAATACCTCGGGAGTGCAACTCTGCAATTTGCTCCGTGATCGCTCCTAGTCTTGTCAGAGAAGGACGCCCATTCCCGTTCGCTACCACCGAGGTGCCAATTTTTACGCACACACGTCGAGCATTTCGAAGGGCAGAACGAGAAGGATGCTCTGTGCTACTCATCTTTTTAATTGCAATCAATCAATGTCGATTAGGTAGTTCAAGTAGTTCTAGTTGTGACTGCCTTCTCTTTTTATTGGTTTATGACAGAAGTTTGTTTCTCGTGTCATAAATTCTTTCTGCTCTTCTCGTACTCGTACGCTACGTKCGATACCGCTATGATTGCTAACATGACAATTTTTTTGTGGCTATCAGACAGAACAAAAATGACAGAGTGAATTCCACGTGTTGTGACGGTACCATCCCAGCTTCACCATACCAAAAATACGAATACACTTTTGTTTTTAWGAAGAAGCATTTTTTGTTTTTGAAAGATGACCGTAAGAGAGAAGTAAATCGTACGTCGATTGCAATGGTAAAGTACGTACTGTAGCAAGAATCCAACAACAGTATCGGTGGGGGAAGAAATCAGGAACACAATCGCTCCAAATCTAACCAAAGCAAGTTTATCGGTACCGTACGGTACAGCTTTTCTTTTTGCTGCGACATAAAATTTACTTACGCTCTTTTTGAAGACGCGTCTAAGAAAGACAACTGGGACCTCATTCTTCACTTAACGGAATCCTCCCACTGAGACGAAAAATGCGCGAGATCACATTATTTGTCAATCGGTATGCATGGAAGTTTATTTCATTAMGATACAGTATTCTGACAAGAACAAGACCTAGTAACAATGTTGATACAGACTATGGTACAACTTGCCAAAGTCCTGTTCTGTGAGACAAATGGATTGCTTTCTCTACCTCTACAAGGACYGGTCTTCCAAAGTAGCGGTATAGAACAGTGCTTGTGCCACTTATTCTTCCGTATGGTCCTAAGATCTTTTGTGAAGAATAGAGSAATTCGACCGTTATTCCATGCAAGTGACTAATTCTGAAGCAAAAGCATTTCCGTCAGTTTTGGCTACATTAATCAATACTCCATGATAGAGCTATTTTCTGTAAGAGTTTTAGTTCGCACAACAGTTTCGAGAATTGTCGTCKTAGTTTTTACTCCATACAGGTCATATCGTTTTTACAATCTTGCTAGCACCAACGGAGCGTGTCAAAAATGAGCTCAGTTATTTAAATCGATTCTGGGCTGCATTGATTGTTTTCGACAAGTCAAAGATAAATCCAAGGCACGAGCAATATATTACTCCATTCATGGCGCTGATAAMTCATTTATCTCAACACTTGTGAAAGAGAAAGCGAGCGCAAGAAAGGGTCATTTTTCTTGAGAATTAGCAGTGCWATTCCAATAGGATGGCAAAAGATATATTTTTCAATGCAAATTTCGAAGAAAGACGAATTACACAGAAAAAAGGAGGAATACAAAACAAAATCCAAAAATTATGATATTACGWCGATCGGTGATTGATTTGAGTCCCTACAGTTTATACCTACTATACATTAAAAGGGTAGTCTCTGGAGCAACAAAAAGCGTTTGATGCATGAGAACCGAATGAATCGAAGTACAGYACAAAAGTAGATTGATTTGGAACAGAAAAAAGAAGCAGTTTCATTTTTCATAGCTACAAACTTGAGTATCTCGAGAATTGAAAAATTATTTATTTCCCAGATAAGAGTTTCACACAATACAAGAAGGCAGTTATAAAGCGATTGTCGGGWATGAAAAAAATTGATTGCTATTAGTTTTTGACGAGACTAGATGCTTGTYAGGTCAGGTGAAATCACTATGGACTTGTCGACACTCCCAAGTGTAATGTAAGTTCCTTCTTCGACGTTGACGGAAACAGCTTGTTGGTGAAAGGAAGAAGTAAGGCCCTCGTTCACRTCCATTGTGACCTAGGAAGGAAATTTCATGAACAAAGTTTTTAGAGTTTATTTTGTCATTGTTTTGAAATCAAAAACTCCTCTCCAATCCGACAGAACTTACCTTCTTGCCATTTCTGTCCTCCAATACAAGTACCGTCTTGCCACTCTTGTATACAAGTATTTTCCCAATCCTACCAGGTGCAACCTTATCGAGACCCTGATCAAAATGACTGGTCGASACAGGCGGGACAACAACTTCGGATATGTTATTCATGGCGTTGTTGGCGTCCGAAGAAGATGGCTTTGAGTCCGTCAAATCATTATCTTCGTTCAGCAACTCATCCCCTCCACCGGCACCGGCACCATTTTCAGCATTATTTCTTTGCATTGGCGGAAGGCGGGTCGGAAGTTGCACCAAAAACCATGAATTCTTTTCCTCGACAAYATCTTCAGTTTTGTGCAAGGAGACAAAGGGCGAATGCACCGATTCCGAATGATCGACATCCACAACACCACTGTTTTTTGGATCTGGAACGACGTAGCTATCTCTTGGGCAAAGAGAACCCACTCCCATGGGCAGAGACTTCTCTGGAAACGGGAGTTCGAGTGGAGCTATCATCGATAGGTTYCTAGGCTTTCCGGTTGATCTGTCGTCACTTGAGTCGGAATCATACATGCAGCCTGCCGTTAAACTCAGGTTCATTGGCTGATTATCGTCATTTGYAGGACCATCCTCCTCCAAGAAATCAGACTCTCTCTCTAGAATCGACTTTTTCTTCGCCTTTCCGGTACCTCCGATTGCGGTTTCCAGTTGACCTACGACTTCCTCTGTGCTTCCATCATTTCCGTCCCTACCATCTTTTCCTGGGCCTCTGCTGCTGTTCTTTCCATCTCCTTTGTTTCGACTTGAACCAGCAGTAAYACTGCTTCCTCGTTTGCTCGCTGATCCCTTTCTAGACGACTCTGACTTCTTTTCACCGCCTGTAAAGAACACTGTGCCCTGCGGTATTGGTATTCTTCCTCGCCCGCGACCGCGCCCTCTTCCACGACCTCGTCCACGTCCATCGCCTCTTCCACGCCCACGTTCGGTTCCTGCCCTTCCTTCAGAAACCGCGGCTGCGTTTCTTTGACTGGAAATAGCACCGGCGTCGAAAGTTGCCGCAGAGGCTGCAGACGAAGTCGCTGCTGCCGCTGTCGCTCCCGCTGCGGCTTGTTTTGTTGTTTTCTTTTGGGGCTTTTTYGGTCGGAACTTGCCCCGCTGAGAAGGTGGAGGTGCCATGCTGCTTGTTCGCTGTGCTTAATATCTTCCTTTTGCTTGATATGAAATTTGCAATATTTGCAACTCTAGTTCTCTCGCAATCAGCATGTTTTCTAGTATCATTGAAATGCAACCTACGGTGTCGTACCGTATGATTTCTTCTSTAAAGCATCATGGATGGATGATTTTGGTTTCTGGAGGAGACATCAGAAACGATGGTAAATCTTTTTCGGCTCGAAACGACTCGTGGTGGTCTAGAGTTTCTCAAAAGAAGCTACCAGTACCTGGTACTGCTGAAGAGAGAATCATCATTGGGAGGAAGCATGGCAGACGGTGGTAAAATCCAGTCGCGCGCCACTTTTAGTCATGAGTACGACGTAACTGACGCACGCGGCATCACCGTATCCGTGTGGAACGCAACTATCGAGAAAGAACGACCCGAAACGAGGCATCGGATGAGATACCTTCGAACCGTCTTGAATCTTCTTTCGATCGAGGCGAGTGCACGCCGATACTACCGTCGCGTACTGTTGGAGTTTTTATATAAAAAATTGAAAGCATTCCAAAGCGGAAATAGTGATCTCAACATCAACACCAATGCTACATAGAGGATTAGCCTTGTCTAACGAAACCGAATAAACCAGCAACAGAATGAAATTTTCAGTTCTTGCACTAGCAGCAGCAACTTCGTCGTTCCTCCCTTACTTTGCGTCGACCGAGGCATTTGTACCCAGGGCATGTTTTATTCCACGAGGAGGCGACCAGCAGCAACAGCTTTCGGCATCCGCTGTCTCTATCGCCGAAGTAGCCACCTCTCCAATTGCTGGAATGAAACCCGGAACATCAGGCCTACGAAAGAAGGTTGAAGTGTGGCAAGGAACGGACGACGAAATCAAACAAGAGTACTACGTGGAGAATTTCATCCAGAGTTTGTTGGATACAGCCACGGAGAACAATAAGGGAGTCGTACCGAAAACCCTCATCGTAGCTGGCGACGGACGATACTTTAACAAAGAGGCTATTCAGAAAATTTGCCGTGTTCTTGCTGGCAATGGCGTCGAGAATATTTGGGTACCAAGCTCCGGCATCATGTCCACCCCAGCCGTTTCTGCTGCCATTCGAACGAGAGAGGGAGGATCCGCAGACGGAGGAATTATTCTCACCGCYAGTCACAACCCCGGTGGTCCTGGAGAAGATTTCGGCATCAAGTACAACGAATTCTATGGTCAACCTGCGGGTGAAGAWTTTACCGATGCTGTAAGYACGATACGACAAMGGCCTCTGTCATAGRCTCAGCTGAATAGTATCGATCCRTATGATTGAAAATTGTTTGCATAAAACTCACATTCGAAAATTTTTCTTCGTTGACAAATAATGAATAGCTCTACGAAAAAAGTTTGAAGATTACTAAATTTATGACTGTGGAGGGATCGACTGATATTGATGTTGATGCCGCTCCAGGTACAACCTTTTCTTTGTCCCCAACATCTACTGTCACAATCATTGACCCATTCACAGAATATATTGAGGTCTTGAAAGAGAGTTTTGACTTTGATGCCATCCGAGAGTTTGCGAAACGTCCCGAGTTTTCGGTTTTGTTCGATGGTATGCATGGAGCGGGTGGTCCCTTTGCTCGACGCATTCTTTTGGAAGAATTGGGATTTCCTGAGGTAAACATAACAAGAGTGTTTGTATATTGTCGATCTCTAACAACATCWGCCAYCCCTCTGACACGAAGCTTTCTTACTTCCGGTACACYAACAGTCATCGCTGATGAGGTGCGATCCCCGACCAGACTTTGGGAAATGCCACCCCGATCCAAATCTTACTTATGCCGCAGATCTCGTTMAGAAAATGGGATTGAATCCTGATGGGAGTATGAACGAAAGTACCGTGTCTTCTGCGCCAACTCTCGGTGCYGCCAATGACGGYGATGGTGATAGAAACTTGATTGCCGGTGCTGGTAGTTTTGTCACTCCATCCGACAGCCTTGCTATGATTTGCGACAACTGGAAAGCCATTCCTCATTTCGCRAAGGCAGGTGGTCCCAAGGGTGTGGCCAGATCAATGCCATCTTCCGCTGCTCTTGACGTGGTAGCCGAAGCCCTTGATATTCCTTATTTCAACACTCCTACGGGCTGGAAATTTTTTGGAAATCTCATGGGTTCCAAAGAGCAATTCGGTMAAACCGACTACACCCCATTTTTGTGTGGAGAAGAGTCGTTTGGTACAGGAACGGATCACATCCGTGAAAAGGATGGACTCTGGGCCATGCTAGCGTGGGTTTCTATTTTGATCGATGCCAACGCAGACACTCCAGAAGGAGCTCCATTGGTTCAGGTAAAGGACATTGTTATGAACCACTGGACCAAGTACGGACGTCACTTTTATTGCCGATACGATTAYGAAGGTAAGGATTTGRCCTGCAGACAAATTGCATTGGCTTCAACTAGGTATCGAAATTTGTATTTTTTGACGGCAATTTAAATTTTTYCYCTYCCTCATGATATATCAACTGTAGCTGTCGCAAGTGACTCCGCCAACGAAATGATGGACTTGATTCGAAATGAATACGTCAGTGGGGATCTGTCTTCMCTGTCCGAGGACGCTTCGGGCATCAAATTGATTGGCGCTGAAGAATTTTCGTAAGTAGAACCCTTTCCGAGAGAAAAAACGACTTGGTCAACTATGGCGAATATCACTGAAACACTCATTTCMATCCAAAMTTCCTTTTCTTTTCGAATCAGATACACCGATCCCGTTGATGGTTCTCTAACCAGTAACCAAGGTCTGATTCTTAATTTCCAATACGCCAATGGCGACGACGCACGTGTCATCTTCCGTCTAAGTGGAACAGGCTCTGCCGGTGCCACTATTAGAATGTACCTCGAAAAGTACGAGAAAGACAAGTCGAGATATGGAGAGGCGGCACCATCCGCATTGAAAACCTTAGCAGATCGTGCCATAGATCTTGTTCAGCTTGAAAAGTTGACCGGCCGAGAATCTCCTACTGTTATTACATAAATTATGTGACGTGGTATAATATGTTATCGACTAGTATTACTATCTAGTGAGACATGAACTSTATTGTACAATATCTTAACAAAGTGTGGCTGTTCGGCATCCTATCAACAAAGAAATCTGTTTTCTCAAAATGTAGGCATCACTTCTATCCCAAGTGTCCTMTGGTGCGAACGATATCCTTTTTGTTGCTTGTCGACATTCAACCAGGTGGGTCGCTGTATATCCTTTGACATCAGGTAGTGACATCTTCCYTTCGTTGCACCATCGTGCAAGTTCAATTTTGTAGTGAACTCGAGATACATGGGATCGGACGAATCCATTTTACTGTATCCTGCCTTTTCGTAGAGTCTMACGGCCCCGTCATTYGTGACATCAACGTGTAGATAAATAGTCTCCACTTCCCGAATTTTTGCTAGGGTATCGATCCCTTCCATCATGAGTTTCGCAACACCCTTTCTTCTTTGGTTTGAATCGACYGCCACTTCGGTGACGTATARCAAAGAATCTTTAGGACGAGAATACCCTAGCAAAGTMTGCGAAAATTCGTGAAAGCTTATTTCGGCAGTGCCGATAATGTGTTCGCTATTTCTTCTACGTTGGCCGACTGCATCCATTGATAGTTCCTCGTCACRTTTTTTGTTGGATGTCGCAACAATGCATGTCGCTCCGCGTTGGCGTCTCGAGTTGAGCAGTGCACAGGACCGATCGCAAAAAAGTTGTCGTGATTCGGGGTTAAAATTGGAAAAAACAGACAGGCGAAGATTGGCAATATCTAGGTCGTCCATTGGGGACGCGACACGTGCTGAGTTTTGAGCGGCCGTCGCCAGAACCGTGTTCCCTTTTGGGAGATACTGAAATGATTCTTCTTCCCGAGGGACCGATGTTTCACCGAKCAGGCCTATGGTCCGGGTTGATTTCATCATCTCGTCCACCGCGGATTCGATCCTSGCCTTCGAAAGGTTGAACGAACCAAACACGTCATTTTTCTTTGGTTGTGAGGTTGCGGTAGRTTCCGTATTGTTGTTTGAATTGCGGACCGACTTGTCGATTCCAATTTCGCCCCTGACACCTTTGTTTCTGATTGGTTCTATTTGAGTGAGTTGTTGCTTCAGCCCTGTGGTAATTGCTTGACAGGATCGAGAGTYATGCRTTGATCTCACTGCCGACGGAGTGAACGAATGGCTTAATTGGATCGCCGCGAAGGCAACAAAGAGAGGAAATAGAGTTACGAGAACTCGACTTCCAWTCCACAGCGTCGAATTTTTGCGCGATGGGGAATGCCTGACAGAATTCATCTTTGACGGGCACTGATCGAATTGTATTTAATGTGGTCAATTAATCAGATATTSTAGGTTAGCAKCAAMTGATTTGCTTCGAGGAATGCTTTTTACTGAGCGACGCGAAGTATTGTAGAATTCGYTCTGAATCATACGTGCGCTGCTACAATTGAGAAGGGTGTCCAGAGGTCAACTCACTTTTGTCTCATCTCCCGACACCAGATTTTGTCTCTSAAGTGCTGATACCTACTTCGTACAATATTAAAATAAAGTATCACAATCTTGTTGGCACCTCGCTTACGTTTTTTGTTTTCTCTGTTTTCTCTGACTCTTCGTTTAACCGTAAAGTACGTACTAGTACGTCCCGTA